ACCAGTCTGGGAAATGAGAAGGACCTTTCTTGAGTCAATAGGAAGATACTGAAACCTGTAGATCCTTGAGAAGCCACTGAACAGGATGCCAATGATGACCTCAAGGAACTACCAGAGAAGCAAACCTGTGGCCAACAATCCTGTGATTTCTAATATGCACCTTGAATCTTGTCCCTGAGAGGCCATATCCCCTCTGTGTCTCCCCCCACACACAGAAACAAGAATCTAGGTGAGGACCACTGAAGTCAGACCACAGCTCAACTTCCTCATCCACAAGTATAGCCCAGGAGAAGGAAAAGAAGAGTAGTGCTTACTGAGCACACCAGCTCTTTCCCCACTGTGTACTTTGTTATTAGAATTGAAAGTGCCTACTAGAAGCTTCTCTTTACCAGGTCAGGCAAAGTGTGTAGGAAAAAAGACTCAACTCATTTAAAGAATGCAGCCACAGTCCCACTGTCCAGTGACAGCCCAGATGGCTTGTTGGAGATACCAAGTAAGGCAAGGATTGGGCAGGCAGGTCAACTGGATGACACCTACATGGACTTCTAGTCCGAGGTAAGTTCTGAGAGCCAGTTCTGAAGACTCACTCCTACTCCTTATCCCTAAAAGTGACACTTGTTTATGTAGATAGTTTGGAAAGTATATAAAAATGTATCTTAGAAGAAAACACTGCCACAATAACTCCCATCTACCATTCAAATTTACCACATCAAAATCTCAAGTGTATTTCCTTTCATTCCTTTTTCTAAGGCTTTTTAAAGTAATTAACATAATTTACATTTATAGGATCATATTTCTTTCCCTTAAATTATACTGTAAGCATTTTCCCCTGTCACTAAGACTCCCCCCATGCATCACTTCAATAATTTCATAATATTCTATCATATAGGCATATCATAATTTACATAACCAGTTTCCTAACATGGAATGTTTAGATTCCTCTCTTCCTTTTATCTTTTACTTTAAACCTTATTGCAATATACCTGCCTTAGCATGAATTTTTCTTTTCAGTTCAGATTATTTCTCTAGAATCAATTACTAGAAAAAGAGTTTTTCGTTCTCAGGATGATATCTTTACCAAATAAGGTACAGGAACATTAAAGATACCCATTTTTGAGAATCCCACTGTGGCTGAAGCCATGTCAACACTGTCAAAAATTACAGTAATATGAAAAAGTAATATTCAAATAGCCAGCCTATGTGGGCACTGCACTAGGTGCTCCCACATACTCACAAGGACCCTACACAGTAGTAATGCTACAAAGCTGAGATATGAGAGGCTATGGCACTCCCCAAGACCCAGTCACCCAATCCAGGGTGATATGGAGCTTGGTTTCTCACTTTTCTTTCCTGTGAACTCCACACCTGCCCAACAACAATGCACACATGTGCAGTGCACAAGTATGCAGGCAGGCACCCAGCCCAGAGCCCAGCAGGTGGGGCTTCTTGTATGTCCTCATTCTCTCCACATGGAGATATAGCTGGGACTAGAAATAGGCATATCCAGGGCCTTCTGTGCTACAGCCACTTCTGGTGGAGCTCAGAGCTGGGAAGCCAAGCAGACACTGATTGGGATACACAGCCCCATTTCTGGATTTCCCAAATATCTCCATGTATCAATTGCCTTTGCCATTTTGGTGTTCTAGGTATCTTCCTTTGCAACAGCACCTTCCTGTACTTCCAGCTGCACCATGAGAGTCCAGGCACACTTAAATCACCAGTGGTTGTTCTTCCCTCCACAATCTCACTTGAATCACTCAGCAAACACGGGGTCATCGGAGAGTACCTCAGACCCATTCAGAATTTCCAAAGAGCCAGGCTGAGGAGACTGTGTTACCCGAACTTCCAGGTCACGGACCCAAACCAAGGTCCTTCTGCCCACTGTCATTTGTGCCAATAGAAGGAGACTAAGTTTGATAAAACAAAGCAGAAACTTTATTCTTTGATCAAGGAGTAGAGAAGGGTGAGCTCATGCTCCAGTGGCACCTTCTCCTCCATGGAAAGGCACCTTCTATATTTACAGTCTGTGTCATGGAGAGATTAAATTCCTTTAGACATGCATAGTTATTCTTCTGTTGTACTTGGCTATTTTGTGCATGGTCCTTTTTACACATGATGCCCTGTTTCCATTTTGGTTTTTGCACTTAGCGCCTTGGTCTTTGAAGTGAGGAATACTTTTTTAGTTCCTGTAAGCAAGTGTAGCTTGTGACATAATTTAGGTATTGGAAACATTAGGGTCTTTTAGTTGATATAGCAGTGACAACAGCAGTCTATGATTAGTTGACTGATCAGAGGGCATATGCACTTATCAGAGCCTGCTGCAGGGTCCCTTCACTCTGAAGCTAGGCAGGGGAGTCAACAGAGATGATAAATGCTTGGAGTTCATTGTGCCAGCTCTCCCACTATGTTAGCTCGCTCCTGAAGAAAGAACACTGAGCTTAAGGTTGTAGTGGGGCAAGCTGTGACTGTCACTTCTTAATTGCATTGCTGAAGGTATACCGGGCCCCTCAGTTCTTGCAAAGGTTATTGTGTAATAGCAGTTGAACTGGGCCATGTAGCCTGTAGCCACTCTTACAGTCAGAAGCACAGTAATTTTCTGAGGGGGGCTCCTATACCAGCAGTATCACCTGAGAACCTGTTAGGAATGCATGTTCTCGGGCCCACCCAGACCTGCTGACTCAGAATCTGGGGCGGTAGGGGGAAGTTGTCCAGTAGATGGTGTAAGACATTACCAGTTCCAATGCATACTCTGTTAAAGAACAGTACCTTAGCTGTCATCTTACAAGAAGCCTGTTAGGCTGTGGTATTTCTGTTTCTGTTTTGCACATGAATAAAGGGGGGCTTCAGAGTTGAGATAACTTTTCTGAGAAATTCCTCCAGACACCCACTTCAAGATGGATAAGGGGGAACATGGTTCCACTTAAGGAGACTAATCAAACTCCTGATGGTGTTTAATTCCTTGCTTCTTGGAGCCTTGTGCTTTATACTCAATGATGATAAATATGTTAATCTGTTCTGTTCTTATCCATAATTCAGCACAAATGCTGCCATTGTCCCTTTGTTTTTTACTCTATCCCAAGAATGGAGACAAAATGAAGAAGAGAGAGAGAAATAAAGAATGGGGAGGGGTATAAAGAGACAGAAAATAGCTTACAAAGCATCAGGACCCCACTCATCCAGTTGGGGAAGTTTGGTAGAGTTTCAATTTTACTTGTGCACACATACCACAAGCATAGGGACTTGAGTCACAATGTAAATGGTGTTTCTCAGGGTCACACTCACCATCGTGTTTGAAACCCTGATTCAGACAATAATGCTATAAGTGGGAATAAACCAAATTCTTATTCCTACAGTATTTTGTTCAAGGGAAGTCCAACTAAGAGATCAAGCAATGAGCAGGCAGATAAAGAACAAAGCAGGGGAAAGCTAATGTGAGTGATGGAAGCAGAGTGGCTGAGTTGTGTCACAACTCTGGGATTCTGAACTCCCAATTTGGACATACAGCTGCAGGCCTCACCACAAGGTCAGGGCCAGGGACACACAGCCAAGTGCAGGGACAATAGACAGTGATCTGGTGGGTGCTGAGATGGTGAAGACCCCTCCTACTCCTACACTCCTATTTCCCTCAGAGTGCAGGAGAAAGTGGAGAGGCAGCCTGGTACAATCATAGAAGCCTCAAAAAATTCCAGTGTGGGATTTCCTGGGGTCTAAGGAAGAAGAGGAGCACTTCATTGGTTCTCTGTAAACTTACTCAACCCAGGCCTTGGGCAAAGCTGCCATTTAAATTTCAGTCCTACATTCAGTCCTATAGCAAGCCAGAAAAATGGAAAGGTTCTCCTTTCTTTAAGTTATACATAATAAAATGCAGGCCCAAAGAGGTCAAATAACTTGTCAAAATTTGACAGCAAAAAAAAAGCAGAGCCTGTGTTTTAACCTGAGGTTCCCTAGCACGACAGTACCCACTGCCAGGGCTGGGGATGGCTTTTGCCTGTACAATCTGCCCTTCAGCTGCAGCCCAATCTCTGCTTGTGCTCCAGGCTCACAGGGCAGCCAGTTCCTGTCTTCTGGTCGAAGGCAGGCAGATCCTAGAGGTAGCAGCTCACACAGTGCTGCCCTCCCACATAGGCCACATTTCCTTTCCAGCTGGCAGCATAGGTGCAGCTGACAGGATGCAAAATAGCAGCAGCAGCTGGGTCCTGGGAGAAGGGGTTAGTAATGTTTCTTAGATGGTAACAGAGAGCAACTATCAGGCCCTGACCCCAGGGATGCAAACTGACCCTTTCTTCTCTTGTATTTTCAGATGAAGCTTGGGGGTGGGAGGGAGTTCTCCTTTTTCTTGTAAGGCTCTGTCTTCACCCCTCTAATGGCTCTTCCTTCTGGCTCAGGTGGAAGTGCCTCCACTTTGGTTCCCGTTGCCTACATTGTCTAGCCAAAGCACAGGGCCAGGGACTCAGGAGAGTGAGCTCCTGTGAGTTGAGAATGAAGATAGCTTCAGACTAGGAGGTCTGGATGTTCTGAATAAAGGAAGATATTTTTAGTCTAAAAATTATGAGGGGAAACAGGACTGTCCTGAGTCCTTGGAGAGTTCCCACTGTGACACAGTGTCCATGATAGCTGTGCAGTTGCAGCCACATCTGGCACTTGATGATCTGCCAAGGAATGTAAAGATCTGGTCAGAAAGGTCACCTTACCAAGGTGTCACCACCTGAGACAGGTGGTGACACCTTTGTGTGAGTTTGATTTTGGTTCAGGCACTACTATTGGGGGAGGGACAGGAATCTTTGTGGTCATGAAAAATTCTCATTGACTGTCACTGGAGTCTTATTCTCTGTGCACCCCTGGTCAGAGGCCTGTCCATGGCCTCTGACCATGTCCACTCTGCTCACTCTGGGTCCATTCACAGAACTATTCACATGTGAACAGAGGGTGCAGGCTGGGCTGAGATGCTGCTGGTGTGGGGAAACTTCCTCTCTCAAAGGACTCCTCTGTTCTTTTCGCAGAGTCCAACCTTGGGATGCCCTGGACGACAATGGACATTGCTATCATTGCAGGTGAGCTGGCCTGTGGCCCTTCAAGTAGTCAGGAGGGTCAGAGGAAACACCCAAGGGGAGAATCCATCTGAGGACTTGGGCCAGGGGGTGGCCAGTACCTTCCCTCTCTCAGAGGCAGTTTTGAATGTAGACTGAAAGAGTCTGGCTCTGTAAGAAAATGTCCAAAACAGTATTCCAGTGTGTGAGGGTAAGACAAGAGCAGTGCTGAGAGCACCATGTCAGGGTCCTCACAGGGCTGTGGATTCATGGATATCAGGGGCTGGAGATAGAACCACTGCATTGGGGAGGTGGCCTGCATGGACCAGGGCTCTCTGACTTCTTTTCTGTGTCCTCATCTCACTCGATTCCCTATCCTGGTTCCACACCCATATCTCTCCATCCTAAAGAAATGACCCTGATCTGGCCTCACTTGGAACCCTGTACTGACTCTCCTGGTCATGGTTGTGACCTCAAACTGTACTTCAGAAAGGACTAGGTCTGGGAGGTGTAATCTGCTGTTTATTTCTGGGATTCACACATCTCCCCAGCTCCTTAGAAGCTCAGGGACTTCACTATTAGATATAAACAAGAGAAAGCAGGCCCTCAAACCCCTGCTAGGTTCTGTGTAACTAATATTCTCCAGCTCATTGGGCTCCCAAACACTTATTTTTCTTAGACAATATTATTAACATCATGCAGACAAAGTGCTGTCCTGAAGACAGCAAGAAGTTTAGAAAATTGTTCCTCAAAGGTGAGACTTGGGGACAGTTTTCCCTAACATCCCCCAAAGCCCGAAAATAAACCTATTCTCTTAAATCAAGACAGAGGACTTGCTCTGTGGCTTCAAAGCAAGTGTCTAAATTCATACGCCTTCCCTCCACCCCACCAGGGGCTGCCCATTAGCCCTGTTCAAACTTTAGTCTTCCTCCCTCACCCATCAGCCCAAGGTCCACTGTGTCCTGGCTTTACTGACCATCCCGCAGACCTCATCTCTCAACCCATCCTGACCTCAAATGAAGGAATAGCTGCTCCCCACACCACATGCCCTCACAGGCATCCTTCAGGATCCCCTCCCCCCTCAGTCTTTTGCTTGGCCAACCCTTACCCTCCTATAGTTCAGGAAAGTTAAGCGGAGCAATGAGCAGTAAAGCCATTCTTAACCCAAACTTTCCTGTCCCATGAAGCCCAAGCTCAGCCCAGTCCATCAGCCTAGTCTTTCCTCATGAATAGTGTACATCAGGCAAACATCTTCACCCCATTTTCCAGCACCTTTCTGATTCTGGCACTTTAAGTCTCATGACCCAGGAAACCCTGGTTTTAAGGCTGAAAGTTTTGAGTCCTCTGAACACCTCAGTTTTAGGCAAACCCACAAATTACAAATCATGCACATAGGTCAGTGCACTGTGAGCATCTGCTCTTCAGCAGGGATCAAGTCGGAAACAAACTATTCCAGACTGTGTCTGCCAAGTGCTGAAGTAGAGAGGGAAGAAAGAGGGAAAGAAGGGAGAGAAGAGGGAACTCAAATGAGCATGGATGTGGGGCGAGCACACACAAAGCAGAGAGAAGAGTGGCAGGAATAAGGCAGCTCATCTGGTGGTTAGTGTTCGTGTAGCAGCAAGTCTGTCCTGCCACAACTCCTGTGTGTCCTGATTCCCTGTTCTGGTTTCACACAAAGCTGTGTGTTTCTTCCCATATGCAGGAGTGATTGCTGCTGTGACCTTCTTCTTGGTCTGCCTCCTTGTCCTCATGCTACACTACATGTACCGGCACAAGGGCACTTACCATACCAATGAGGACAAGGGCACAGAGTTTGCTGAGACCGAAGATGCATCCATGCAGGATGACCTGTCTCTCCAAGAGGCTGGCGACAACAGCAGAAAGGAGTACTTTATCTGAGGGGCACCAGACTTTACCTCCCCCAGTGCCTCCTCCTACTCCATGACTTCACTCCACCATCTGTACTACCAAGCAGACTATGACAGCACCCACCTTAACCCAAGACAGGGGAATTTTGGGTGCTGGGCCAGGGAGCTGGGAGGAAAGGAAGATAAAAGTCCAGAAAATCCTCTCCCAAGGACACAGTGACCACTGATGAGGCCTGCTTTTGCGCTGCCAGAGGGAAGAAGTCTGGGTCTTCCTACGCAGTGTGATTTATCCTCAGTGTGGTGTGTAAGTTCTTGCTGGGTCTGAGTGGGGTGGGTGGGCCTGGGGACTGGGGAATCAAGGAAGTGAGTCAGAAGTATGCTTATTGGAACAATAGCATCAAATGTCAGTCCTTGACATCCAGGGGAACAGCAGATAACAGAGCTCAAGACACCTGAGTCTTCTACTGGCCCAGCTGTAAGTGATTGGAAATAAATTTGAAATGTAACTGAGTACTCAGAGTCAAACAGTATTACCATAATTGTCTGGAGAACAGTAAATGCCACACAGGACTGGATTTTCACCAATGCAGCTGTGTGTCTCTGATAGAATCTGCATGCATGCCTGTGTGCATGGGGCTGCACCATCCACTTCTGGCTCCATTGCCAGTCCCAGCACAGAGAGCACACATGGCTCCTATACCTGCTAGGAGAGGGAGGGACCAGTGACCAGCATTCCTTTTCCCCACACAGGCACTAGCTTCATGAAACAAATGTAAGGGTGGACTGTGCCTGTAGTAATAGATTGTCCCCGTACCAGGGCAGTGGCTGAAGCATTGATTCTCTAATACAGTATTAGGAAAAAATGGACCGGTTAAACAAATATGAGTGAACCTCATCCTTCCCATAATAAAAGTGGCTGGAGCACAGACTCCCTGGGTTTTCACCCTCGCTCCCCTTTCCTGGTCCTAGAACTTGGTTAACTGGCTTGACCTCTATGGCCTCAACATCCTTGTCCCTCTTGTGGACCTCCCTCCAGGGTACCCACTCTCAGGGTTGACAGCATTAACAAATGCGCCAAGTGCTCAGAGTTGTTTTTTAATGTCATTATGTGGTACTGGATATAAACTATGTATGTGTAGGTAAACAAAAGTTCCTCATTGCACCACTTCTAAATGCTTCCTGAACAGCAATTGTAATTTAGAATGAATAGCAGAAAGATGAACTTACTAACCATCCCCTTTCATAAGAATCTCTCCAAGACCCCCATCAGCTCAACAATCACCCAGAAACCAGCAGCTCCAAGACTAAAGACTGCATCCTGGCTACCAGTAACTCCCTAGGGCTCATATTTCCATAGGTGACCCCATCTACAACTGGGAGTCAGTAAAAAGGTCCCTTGTCACTCTTCCTAGGAAGATAATGAGTCCAAACTCAGTCACAGATGACCAACCACCAGCCAAAGGAGCTGAAAGTCTTAGGACTCTCATAGGGCAGAGAGGCAGAGAAAAGAAATGAAGCTGGCCAAAGGGGAGATGGTTCTCTTGGTGACCCGAGCTTACTGGTCCTCCACTGTCTCATCTGTAAAATGAAGGACTTGGCTCTATCTCCATGCCCCAAACTGTGCTCTGTTAAACACTATTTGGCAAAATCATGATCAACAGCCCAAACACAAAGGATGCTCCAGGTGCAAATAGGTTTGGAAAATGACATATTAAGCCAAGTTAAAGCAGTGAGGGCTTCCCAGTATCTTTAGTATTCCAATGTGTGCTACAACTTGAGGTGTGGGAAGTAGGGAAATTAGTGCAGCCTTCCTCAAATGTATTTGGAGAGAGACCCCATTTCTTCTCAGAATACCTACTAAAAATTTGTGGACCAGGAGTCCCACAGAACACATTTGGGAAATACTAAACAACATCTAACAATCCTTCCTGTTGTGACATCACTTTAGGTTTTTGAGAATATGTGGGCATATGGCCTTGTCTCCCAGGACTGTAAGCATAGATCACTGCCTAGTACACCCAGAACCCACACACAAACATGCTTTTCTCTTTTTTAAAAATATATTTTATTAATTATGTCATTACAGTTCTATTTCCCCCCTTCATTTCCCTCAACCCTGCACACCCCTCCTCCACCATTCCCATCCTTTAGTTTATGACCATGTGTCTCAAGTTCTTTAGATTCTATATTTCCCATACTATTCTTGCCCTCCCCCCATCTATTTTCTACCTACCATCTATGCTGCTTATTTTCTGTACCTTCTCCCCACTTCTCCTTCTCCCACTCCCCTGTTGATAACCCTCCATGTGATCTTCATTTCTATGGTTCTGCTCCTGATCTAGCTGTCCTCTTAGTTTGCTTTTGTTTTAGGAGTGGCTGTTGATAACTGTGAGTTTGCTGTCCTTTCACTGTTCATCTTTTTTATCTTCTTTTTCTTAGATAAGTCCCTTTAACATTTCATATAATAAGGGCTTTGTGATGATGAACTTCTTGAATTTGATCTTATCTGAGAAGCACTTTATCTGTCCTTCCATTCTAAATGAAAGCTTTGCTGGATAAATCAATCTTGGTTGTAGGTCCTTGGATTTCATGACTTGGAATACCTCTTTCCAGCCCCTTCTTGCCTGTAAGGTCTCTTTTGAGAAATCAGCTGACAGTCTGATGGGAACTCCTTTGTAGGTGACTGTCCCCTTATCTCTTGCTGCTTCTAGAATTCTCTCTTTCATTTTAATCTTGGCTAATATAATGATGATGTGCCTTAGTGTGTTTCTTCTTGGGTCCAACTTCTTTGGGACTCTCTGAGCTTCCTGGATTTCCTGGAAGTCTATTTCCTTTGCCAGATTGGGGAAATTCTCCTTTATTATTTGTTCAAATAAGTTTTTCACTCATGGGTGTTCCTCTTTCCCTTCTGGTACAGAATGTTGGAATGTTTAAAGATGTCCTGGAGGTTCCTAAGCCTCTCCTCATTTTTTTGAATTCTTGTTTCTTCATATTTTTCTGTTTGGTCATTTTTTTCCTCCTTCTGGTCCACTCCTTTGATTTTAGTCCCAGTTTCCTTTCCATTACAATTGGTTTCCTGTGCATGTCCATTCATTTCAATTAGTTTAGTCTTCATATGTTCCTCTAATTTGTGACTAAAATAAACCAGTTCTGTGAGGATCCTGATCACCAGTGTTTTGAACTGTGCATCTGAAAGTTTGGCTATTTCTTCATTACTTAGATTTATCGGCTCTAGGGCTCTGAGTTGTTCTTGAGCCATGTTTTGATCTGTTTGTGCCTGTTACATAGAGAAGGTGTTGACCAGGGCGGGGCCACCCAGTTCACTGGTTTGTGACGCTACATGTGGGGGCGGGGTCAGAGAGGGACAATGGCGGTCCCCTCTGCCACTTTCCGCCACTGGGGCCTGCATGGTCTGTCTCACCGCTTCACTCCTTCACCAGTTTATCTGCGCTTGACTGTGTGACTTTGGTCAGCCCTCAGTGAGTCCACCGTCTTGCGCCCTCAGTGGGTCCGCCCACTACTCCACACCTGGGATCTGCCCACGGCTGCTGGTGCACCTGGGTTGCATGCCCCAGTGGGTCCTGTGGATCTTTCCTGCCAGACCCCGCTCTGCTGCTGGCTCTGCCCCTCTTACTGGTTTGGCTGAAGGGTTCGTTGTTGTCAGACTTCCGTGTAATTCAATTTTCTGTGGTTTGGCTGCATTTTTGTTGCTAAAACTTTGTTGTTTTTAAACTTGGTTGTGTGAGAAGGTGCAGTGCTTCCACCTATGCCTCCATCTTGGCGGAAGTCTAGACATGCTTTTCTTTAAGAAAGACTCCAGAGAAAGAGGATGAGCCCAGGGCCCCTGAGCTGGTGCCTTTGTGGGCAAGAAGGCTGCTGATAAGTCTTCTCTCCCTCCTTCTCTCCCTCCACCCCACTGGTCTAGCAGCCCTCTATCTGAGACCTGGCCCATGGGATGTGGGCTCTCTGTTCCTTCACCTCATCTCCCTCACCTGCCCTATGAAACTACAAAAACTCTGTGGAAGTACAGCCTGCTTCCAACCCACTGGGTCCCCAGGCCCAGCCAGAATCAGAGGCAGAGTGACATGGAAGTTGTAGGGTTGAATTGTCCAAGGTGACTGTTCCAAATGCCACCCAAGGGGGAGCTGTCACCCTCTGGGTGAAATCACAGCTTCTTTGTACACAGTTCCTCCGTTTATTGTCTCAGTAATCCTTGCAGGAAGATGACCTCATCCTCCTTTTAGGCTGACTGAAACTGAGGCTCAGAAAGACCGAAGGGCCTGTTGGAGGTCACATAGCTTCTAAGAGATCAGCAGCAGGAATCTCCTTCCTTCCACGGGCTGCAGTGAATCAGCAAGAGCTCTTCCTGGGAGTGGATCAGGTACACCAGGACTCAGGGATGCTGGAATGAGCCAGTTTTGGGGTCCCAGCACCCAAGGCCTGGCCAGCAATGACCTGGGCTCCTGTGCCAACATCTCCATTCTCAGTGAGGGCTGGCCTGGGGCAGTGGCAGCTTGGAGTGGTAGGAATTGGTCCTGGGCTATTGGCCCTTGGTGGGATGATTAGCAGGGTAAAATGTTTTTAGTTAGATCCCACCTCATCCACCACCCAATCATTCTTATCAAAAAGGAAAATGATTGGTTAGATGACCCTTCATGGATGATGTAAACTTTAAAAGAGTTCTCAACCTCAAAATAAAAATGTCTAATGCTGAACATTTAGATCCAGAGACAGATAGACCATGTGACTATATGTGTCTGATTTTATATCTGCAATTCACACACATGTGTTAGGTACCTGTCTAAGTGTGGGGATGACCTCACTGAATAGAACAGGTCCTGCCTCATGGGTTCTGTGCTTGGTGAAGAAGGTAAACATGCCAGCTCCATGGCCCTGCAGTGTTAGAGATGCTGTGACAGTAGTGAACAGTTCAGTGTGGAATACCAAGGAGAGAGAGGCAATTAGATCAGGAGATGAGCTGGACTTAGGGAAGACTTCAGAGGGAAAAGGAGACCTGCATAATTGCGCAGTAAACTAGGGCAGGACCATGGAGGGTCTCCAGCCCCAGTCTAAGAAATGTGACTTTGTCCTAGAGGCTATAGGGGGCCACTGAAGGAACAGGGCAATCTCTATCATAAAACTATGCAATGATCAAGTTAAACAAAAGACAAGATGAAAATAACTATGGAAATGTACAAGGGGGCTTCTAAAGGCATGTCATGGTGATGACCCTGCCAAGTGGTGGAAACACCCGTCATCCTGGGGCATGCCCCTCACTTCAGCTTCCTCATCTTTTAGTCTGGA